AAAAATTTAGTCCACGCCCACCTGCTGTGTGGGCCCCACCCAGTCTGTATGAGTTACGTTAAGAGCGGGTAATCGGCTCCCAATTTTCTTCAGCAAGCTAATAGCACTGACCTTCTACAAGATGTCCAGCTCCACCACCATCCGCTTGTGTCCATTCTGCAAGACCGGTCACTTGCTCAGCTTTGACCGGCACGACACCTGCGAGGGATGCCTGGGTCCCCGCCACATCACCCGCGCTTCCTCCTGCCGCCTCTGTGACGACCTTCCTCTGGAGGAAAGGCAGAGGAGAGCAGCCTTGTTTAAGGCTAACGTCAAGGACTGCCTGTCTGTGGCGGGAGACTGTTCGCTGGACGATGCAATCGACTTCTTCGATGCCGGCTCTCGGAGTGAATTGGATGGTTCCTCTGGGACAGGCGACGTCAGCAGCAGCCCCGATGCTCACTCCCTCCCAGAGAGCGTAGTGTTGGAACGAGGGGGGCCAAGTGGATGCTCGACCCCTCCGGGCTTTCCCGCCTCAATGGCCACATTGCTCCCTGCCGTCGGCGCCCTCCTATCGGAGTTGCCCGACATTATCCGGGAAGCTGCTGACATGAAGGAACTTTCTGTTCCCTCCCTCCCCCTGCCCAGATCGGACGATCTAGCAGGAAGGTTTGGCTCCACTCCGGCTCGCCGTCATGATCCCATCTGGCCTTGGTGTCCAGCGATGACGTCTTATTGGAACGAGGCCACGGCCGGTCCTGGTAAACTGAGAGCGCCCGTCTCCACTTTCGCTACCATCACCAGAGTGGAGGGGTTCACCGAGTGGAACTTTTCCTTGGTAACCCCCTTGAGCCAAGCCTTGCGGAAGCTTTCGGAGCAAAGCTGTCCGGGTTGGAGCAACGCCCCGTCCCTCCTGGGAAACACGACCAGACGGTGACCACTCTCTCCAATCGAGCTCATCAATGTGCGTTTCAGGCAGCCGCAGCTAACAACAACGTGGCGCTGTTAGCATACAGCGTGTCCAAGAGGCTGGAGGCTGCAGATCTGACGGGGGAGTCCAGGAGCTCCCTCTGCAAGGCATCTGACGCCATCCTCAACATGTGCACCTCTTCTGCAGTCTGACTGTCCAGAATTGCAGCGTGGATGACGATGATTCAGCAATCCACCTGGCTCGTCACTCCCCCTCTCTGCCGGAAAAGCTGCACAGAGACCTGATGGAGGGCCCCATCATGGCAGATGTGTTGTTCGGGAGCAGTTTCAAGGCCATGTTGGAGAACTCCAAAAAGTCGGAGGAGGTGTCGGAGACCGTGCGCCACCTCATCAAGCCGAGCGGCTCATCCCGCCCCCCGGCCTGCTGCAGAGATCGTTGTGAGCAGAGGCAGAAGCAACGACGTTCCATGACCGCGGCAGCGTCGTCTCGCTCAGCTCCACCACCAGCCCCGCCCGTCAGAGACCAGCCCTCTTCATCCCGGCAACCAACAGTTCAACGTTTCCCCAGAGATCGACAGCAGGTGGCTCCCTGGGCCAACAAATCGCAGAGCTCATGGGGGAAAAGGTTAAAAAAATGACGGTCTGTGGAGGGTGTGTGTAAAAGTGACACAAACGTTGAAATAAAACATCATTCAATGATCAAAGTGTCTGTTTTTAGCCAGTCTGTAAGCTCGGATGAACTCACAGCGGCTGCGCACATATCCTCCACACAAAACGAGCCAGTGTCCTTAAATAAAGGTTTTTCAAAATCACTGTTGCTCCTAAACAAGACAAGATGCTCACATGACACAACATTGGTAAGCGAAATAACTCGTTTTCAGCCCGAGCTGCACAATCCTCACCCAAGCGATGTCAAATGCGCACTCGCGCGACGCAAACAGCCTACACCCAAACGGCGTTGCGTTGATGATGTTGCACACACAGCTCCCCGGCGTTCACCGGCTCACATCGGCATAAATGTGGGACCGCAGGACGGGTCCAGTGTAGGACCTCGCTCTCAGCGAGAGCGACACGCACCGCACCGAAGCGCTCATGCAACCCCATACCATCAGTGATGCAGGCTTCTGAATGGAGCTTTGATAACAACTTGGGCTATCCTTGTCCTCTCTGGTCCGGATGACATGGCGTCCCAATGTTCCATAAAGAACTTCAAATCGTGACTCATCTGACCACAGAACAGTCTTCCATTTTGCCACACTCCATTTTAAATGACCCCTGGCCCAGTGCAAACGTCTGAGCTTGTGGAGCTTGCTTAGAAATGGCTTCCTCTTTGCACTGTAGAGTTTCAGCTGGCAACAGCGGATGACACGGTGGATTGTGTTCACTGACAATGCTTTCTGGAAGTATTCCTGAGCCCATTCTGTTATTTCCATGACAGTGGCATTCCTGTTTAAGGGCCCGGAGATCACGAGCATCCAGTAAAGTTTTACGGCCTTGACCCTTACGCACAGCGATTGTTCCAGATTCTCTGAATCTTTTGATGATGTTATGCATGGTTGATGATGATAACTTAAAAGTCTTTGCTATTTTACGCTGGGTAACACCATATATATATATATATATATATATATATATATATATATATATATATA